GCGTAAAAAGACAGTATAAGTCATTATAATCCATAAGTATGTCCCCACTGGATGCAACAAATGCCTTGTTTGTAATGGGTTTTCATGTTTTTAAATCGTCACTCCGGCATCACAGTATGGAGGGGCGTAACATTTCCGTCACACGCTTGAGGTATTCGGCCAATCACAACGCACTGGATAGCTGGCCAATCAGAGCACACCTCGCTTTTCAGACCGATGAGCTTTGTAAAAATCGACACGTTTCAGAAAGGTGGAGCATAAAGGAGAAACAATAATGTACAGAATGTGGAAAATTTGTTTTTTTAACTTTAAACCACACAAACACATTTCATTACACCAAATACACAAAATAATGTTCTTTTTCGCAACATCATATGAATGTTGCTTTGAATTATTTGAAGCAGAAATGAAATTTTTGAGCTAAAGTGGAAATTAATTAATCGCTAACAAGATGAAAAATACAGAAATGACACGAGGATGAATAAATGATGACACTGAGTTCAATTTTGGTTGAATTATCCCTTTAAATTACCCGGGATGAATCATCTCTTCTACAAGATTGTGAAGATGGTTCATTTTCGTCAGGCCATTCTCAAGCCTTACTAAGAGCTACATTCAGCATCTCAACACGTACAAACAACACTAACAAGAGACAGATGGAGGCTGCAATTTTCAAACTTATGAGCCATCACTATGGCTTTAGAAAAGCTCTTTTCAGAGCAGAATACTTATTATTATCAGCTCTTAGGGGTGAATTATCTGTGTACGCTTATATAAAACTTTATTCAGATGTCCAAATGTCAGATATTTGCAATGAAATTAAATGTGTCTGTTACCATGGCAGCTAGCCATCAAGCAGTAACAGGCCGACAGAGATCAGGGACACAGGCTTTTATGACTCGACTGCAGTCAAGGAGAGGGAAGATAAGACAAGCAAATGCAGACCACGGGGAGCGAATCCATGTCAACTCAAGCATTACTGGCAAAGTTCATGAATCTGGATAGAAGATCATCATTCTAAAAAAAAAAACATCCAGTGAATCTTAATTTGAGTTGAAGCATACGAGGACACTTATTTTAACAGACATTTTCACACTCATAGATTTACATAGATTGGTAAATCTAAAAAATATGTATTAACAGCTGCATGTACTTAACCTTTTTGTAAAGAAATCTTAATATATCTTTTGGTGTGGATATATGCCAATTAATTAAATATAATTAGCACAAGATACATTCATTATTCTATTCAATACGTACACGAATCAAAACATTTTTCAAACCGAATATGTGTACTTAATCTGCCAAGCAAGCACAATTATGATGCTGTTAATATCAAAACAGCTCAATATTATCCACTTAATTGGCCTAATATACTGCATAATTGCACAAGTGAAAAGAACATGGCTTTTCCTG